TCTCGGCCTCCCAAAGTGCTGGGATTACAGGCTTGAGCCACCGCGCCCGGCCGTTTTTAAGGTTATTTTAATATTGATTATCCGCTTTCTAAAGACAGTGCCTCATTACTTGTATGGACGGTTCTCACTGTTCCCCAGCGCGTCCGCTCCCTCCACCTTGAGTCCACCACTGCTTTGCTTTATAAAGTTGTATTTCAGTATTATACTAGGTAGTTTGGAGTGTTGTTTTCAGAAATCTTTTTTTTTTTTTTAACAGTGTATTTTTTTTTTTTCTGTCATGCCTCTTCTTAGCATATCAGAAATCTTACTTTTTTCCAAGTTATTAATTGTCATTCAGGAAGCTGTATACTGTTTGATGAGAGCTAGACCTATAGATAAATACTGATTTGTATTTAGCATGTATTTGTACATTTGTTTAAAAGAATAATGCCTTTTAAAAAGTAAGAATGAAAGAGATTAAACAGAAGACTGTGGACGCATTCCCAACAGTTTTTTTTCATGTGTGTTTGTATTTGCCCATCATCGAAACTAACTTATCATGTCCTATCTCTTTCATGGAGGCACAAAGTAAGAATCCTTCACAAGAGAGCTCTCTCTTTCTTGTTTCTTCATCCCAGTAAATACGTATGCATGGATTCTTTTACACATTTATCAGGTTTTGTTTTTCTTTTTCTAGCTGGCACCCCAAACAGTGCCCAGGCTGCATGATACTATGTATGAGTCTGTTTTTATTTGACACTATTGTATTCTTTTTCTCTTTATAAAATTAATTCCTGTATAGCGTCTGAATGGGTTTACAAAAAAATCAATTAGCTTTTACTTGGAAAATCTTTTCCTGTCTTATATAGAATAATGATTTTTTTCATCTGTCAAGGGGGTTATTAATAAATGCCACCAGTGGGGTTAGAACATTCTCTGGTGTTTGCTTTAGGAGAACAAGGGGATTGTCGGAAATCCTAGCCAAACTGAACCATAATTAGAGAGAAAATGTTAGCAATTAGAACTATACGTTAGGCTTTAATTTACTACCATGGAAAAGTCAAGGGTGGCATTTCTATTCCATTTTTAGGTGCAGCCAGATGGATTGCTCATTACAGGGTAATTTCCACCGACCCTCTGCACTTCTCAGGGTAACAAAGCCGCTGACAGTGCTGCGCAGCTCAGTGGCTCAGATTTTATTTTATTTTTTGTGGGGGTGGAGAGTGGAGTAGGAGGTTGAGTAGTTATCAATTTCCTACATAGTCATTGACATTATTGGGAATCTTTTTACATGCTGTATAATTTTAGGCCAAGAAAGCAGTTGGGTAACACGAGTACATTAATACAATTTACTTTTCTACCTTGCCCTGCATGTGTTGGTTATACTAGCATATTTTAGCAATCTTCACATTTTCAAGTTCCCCTCTTCAGTGTTTCCACTTTTGGTTTTTCCTAGTAACCAAAATGAACATTTTAGGTTGTTGTTAAGAAAAGAAACTACACACACCATCTC